TTTTTTTTTGTAATTATTTTATTTTAAAGAACCGTTTTTTGTACGTTCAATTTGTTTTTGTTTTTTTAATAAAGAAGTAATTCGATTTCTTTTTTTTTTTTTTTTTTTACGCAGAATCTGCCCGTCCTTTTGGGAGTGACGGGGGGTTCCATTTCCCCAACCCCAGAAACTGCAGCGCGTTAACGGAAGAGGCGGTCAGCCGGAGTATGGACGGAGAAAAGAAAAGAAAAGGAATTCAGGGGTGAAGGGGTAGTACATCCTTCCTGTCTCAGGGCACTGTGACCATAACAAAGGGAAGTGTGGATTGCGTATCTGATGTAAGGGGCACTGACCGATTTTCCAGTCTTCACTGATAAAACAGCTACCTAAGAAGGAAAAAAACAAAATGCATGTGTTGGAATAATGGCAGATGCTCACACTGGGAATGATGCCCGGAAAGGGGGAAAAAAAAAAAAGTGTCTCACCAAACCACCTGAACATCCTAGCCTGTTATTCTCCACCCAGCTTTTTTGCCGCGCACCAATTCCAGCCAAAGCAGCGCCGAGCGCAATTTGCGTGCAGCCGTCAGCCTTTACCTTCTGGTAAGCCCTACCCTCGATTCTGCAGAGCGTGCTGGTGGTTTAACAGCGATAAGCTACCACTAGAAAATAATGGACAAAAAAAAAAAAAAAAAAAAAAAAAAAAAAAAAAAAAAAGTAGTAATAATGGACCACAGAAGAGATGGCCAAGTTGGGAATACAAGTGGGTATGGCAAGACCATTGCCATTTATGAAAAAAAGGGGACCCCTGCAATGTCTACCATCCCCTTCAGTATATTTCTTTTTTTTTCTTCCCCCCCGCCCCCTGCCCACCGCGAGAAAACATCTATGGTTGCTGGGGCTGGGTGGATGGCTCCGGTCTATTGGTGGGGAGCAGCATCTGCTGGAAGCTGAGTCCAGCATCCCTTTGTTGACATCATTATCTTGTTCTTACATCAGAAAAAAGGAGATGATTTGTGTGACCTTAGTGTCTCCAAAGCCGCCTAAGGACAACCTTTTTTTTTTTTTTTTTTCTGGGACTCTTTATTTCTGACTGTAGATTGCCACCTTGAAGGGGTTAGGTGGTCCCAGTCGCAAAGAGGATTTGGATTTGAAGCCTGAATCGGGACGTAGTTGCGGAGAGGTGCAGAATATAGCCATCATGGATCTGGTTTTCTGCATCTCTACTTAAAACCCATCCAGATTCAGGAGCTTAATCCAATCCTCTTTGTTACTGGGACCTTGAACAAGATCCACCCATGGTCAGAAAGTGAAGCCCCTCACACTTTTAGGTAATGGAAACTGAAATTTTTCCACAAGAGTATAGTTATAAAAAAATAATAATAATAATAATAATAAAATAATAATATAAAAAATCCAGAAGAAGAACCCCACAAAAAGGGGAAACTAAGCGCGAGTCACAAAAAAATGAGTTAAAATTGCACTATGGGCCAAGATACAATTTCGAACTGCAGTTCGGGCAATGTATACAACGCAGCTTTCTGGCCAGGTAGGGTGCCGGAAGTGCACTCGCAAACTGTATCTTGCCCCATAGTGCAATTTTAACTCTTTTTCGTGACTCCACTGAAGTTACCCCCCTCCAAAAAAAAGACACCCACACAATCTTGAAGATCAACAGTGAGAAGTGAGGCCTCCATGTTTAGTGGGACCTCGTCCCAAGAGCAAGGTCCCACTTACTGCTCTCTCTTTTTCTTTTTTTTTGGAGAAAGAAAAGGGCAACGGCCTTGACATATCATCACATCATGAGCTGACGGGCCAGGTCCCACTTGCAAAGAGGATTGGATTGAGCGCCTGAATCTGGACGCGTTTGTGGAAAGGTGCACGAACATGCTTTTCCACATTTGTGGCTAAAACGCATCCAGATTCAGGTCTTCCATCCAATCCTCTTCGCTAGTGGGACCTCGCCCCAGGTGATTCGACCTACTTCCTGCTGTTCATCTGATTTTATGTGTGTCAGTCAGCCACAGGGTTGCTACCCTGATGCAGCAGACTTGTCGTCCATGTCAGGATTGCTTCTGGACTAGATCGTCCGATTCCAGCGGGATTCGAACTCAGGTCTGTTCTTTTTTGGTTCCAATCAAAGACACAGGTCTGTATGTCAACAGTCCATGGATGTATCAGCAGAGATAGCCCCATTGGTGCTATTTGGTATTTCCAGCCGCGGAAACTTGCTTTTCCTTTTTTCTTTTTTTTTTTTTATTCGAGCAAAAAATTGTGACGACTTGTAAAGTATGTGCGTAAACAAGTGTATGATGATGAGAAGCATAGATCGCCCTCGAGAAAGGGGATTAACTGCTCAGAAATCGTGCCTTCCTTCCCTACCGTGCTCCACCCATCCGCCAGTAGGTRAAGTGGTCATCAGCAAACGAAGGGGGGGGGAAACACGGCAGAGCCAGAAACCACAATCGTTTCCCAACACCCCAACCCTAACCGTAATGACAAGCCTCCGCATCAACCATCCTAGGGAAACAGTCATCAAACACTGTATAGTAATTATCAAACACAAGACAGGGATATCGAAGAAAACCCTAAYCAGTCCCCCTACCGCCAGAGAGGYCACCACCCCTGCGTGATTGGAGTTGCGGACCGGACAACTCCAATCCTCGCCAACTAACCCACGCCCATCCRCTGCCAACCAGCAACTGCGCCGTCGATCCCAATAACACCGGTATTATCATCGATCCTTTGACCAACAATTCCATTTCCACAGTTATCGTCGACGAGCCTTTTGCCGTCAATTTCGTCTCCGCAGTTGTCGTCAGCAAGGAAACTGTGGTCAATATTCTTGAGCTGTTTGTTGTTGGTTTTATCGTTGTTGTTGTTGTTGTTGATGTTGTTGTTGTTGTTGTCGTTGTTGTTGTTGAAAATGTTATCGTCATTGCCGCCGTTTTCATTGATGTTCTCGCCACCTCCAACGGCGATCTCTCTGCTAGCGATGTCACCTCCACAGTTGTCGTTCAAGACACCAAAAGAGCTGTAGTTGATAATCGTGAGCTCCTTCTTGTTGTTGTTGTTGTTGTTGTTGTTGTTGTTGTTGTTGTTGTTGTTGTTGTTGTTGTTGTTGTTGTTGTTGATGTTATTATCGTTGTTATTGTCATTGTCGTTACTGTCGTTGCAGTCGATGTTGGTGCTGAAGCTGTTGCCGCCTCTGCTGTCTTCAATTGTTGTCGCAGGCGACAATCCCGCCTCCAAAGCTGCACAGCGATCCTGGCCGTTCCTAAAGATGTCGTAGCATCTGTGCATGAGCGAGTCAGCTTGATGCCAATCAACAAACTCCTCCAGCGAAGGAGCCGGCCCCTCCTCCAACTCCCAAATGATATCAAGCATGCTCTGCATCATGTCCTCCAGCCATGGCGCAAGTGTGACTGTCCCCCCTACAGCCCCCAACCAATCACCATGGCTCGAACACAAAATGTCCACAACCTCCTGCAAACGGCGGCCGCCATCTTCTATAGTCTCCAACCATTCTGCCGCACCATTTCGTAGTTCTTCATTAGGAACCATGTCGTCCAAAAAACGCGCCGTCGGATCCTGCAAATCAGACGCCTCACACCGACGTACCGTCCCTGGTGTATCTGGTGGGAATACCACCATCGCCTGGACAGAGCGACCAAGCAGACACCACGATTTCCTTGGTTTGTCTGTTTACAATACTGTCTGTTTACCAAAACAAAACAAAACAAAACAAAACAAAACAAAACAAAACAAAACAAAAACAATACTGTCTGTTTACAATGGTGCCGGGTGAAAAAAAAACAAAAAAAAAAAACAAAAAAAGAAGAAAAAAACAAAAACAAAAAAAAACAATACTGTCTGTTTACAATGGCGCCGGGTCGTACCCTTTAGGAGACCCCACTTGTAAGAACCCAGTGCATGTGGCAGAATGGTACACACATGTAACTGTCGATAAGCAGATAAGGAGTTCAAATCCATAGGGTGAAACACTAGGATAAAAATTTTTAGGGTAGGGGTGAAGAAGAACCCCACCCGCTTGTCAATACCCAGCCCAGGTGGCTGAACGGTACACATATTTGACGGTCCACAAAGAAGTTTCGTGTTCAAATCGTGAGCGTGAAGCAGAAAGGGACGATAAGCCTAGGGCTACCCCCTTAAAAAGCAAGAAAAAGGACCCCACTTGAAAATGAAGAATCAAGGCAAGAGGGAAGTGAGAGAGCACAATGGCGTCACTCTCCAAGATTTGTCAAGGTGTATTTAAGGGACGCTGGACCCGGTTTCCAGCAGGTGTTGCTCCCCACCAATAGATGGAGCGGCCCACCAGGCAAAGCCTCAATCCCGGTGGTTCTCTTACCACCACCAGGATAGAGGCCTTGCACAAGGGCCTTTCAACAAAAAAAAAGAGAGAGAGCCCACGTTAGCAAGTGGGATCTTGCCTCAGCGCGGTGAAAAAAAGGGAGGTGAAAAAAGGGAGAAGAGGGAAGAGGGACGAGGGATGGAGAGGGGGTTAACTTGGCCCGAGTCGGACTGGGCCACGGTTTTTGGAGAGGAGGAGACAGACGAAAGGGTTCTTTTTCAAAATTAATTGGACGGGCTTTTCTCTACTTGTTCTGCTGGGTTGTATACATTGGCCGAACTGCAATTCAAAACTGTATCTTGGCCCATAGTGCAATTATAACTCATTTTTTGTGACTCCCCCGTAGTTTCCCCTCCTTTTTTTTTTCTTTTTTTTTTCCCCCTTCTTGTTCTTCTTGTTCTTCTTCTTCTTTATTTATTTATTTTATCTAAACTACGCTATATTCTTCTCTCAAATATTTCATCATCTTTCAAATTCTTTCAATTCCCCTTCTACTTGTGCCTGTCATAATGTTTTTTTTTTTTTTTTTTTTTTGGATGCCTGTCGTAGTTGGGGCCACGCTAAACTTCAATGTACCGATAAATGTGCTGCGGACCGGGTGTGTTTTTTTTTTCCCAAAAAAAGAGGGGACTTCTCTGTGCCGTTAGTTCCGAAGCAGTTGCCGAAACAATTCAAACTTTCCTAACTGAGGGAGGGCGTTTTCCTGAAAAAAAAAAAAAGAGGGAGGGCATAGGGCCTCACGACACCACTCTTGAAAATGGATTTCAGGATTTTCAAGGCCTTGCTCCGAGTTTTTAAGTCCCATGAGGTTGTCGGACGACACTTCAACTGTCTCTTTCTCATCAGGGACGCTGGACCCGGTTTCCAGCAGGTGACGCTCCCCACCAATAGATGGAGCCTTTCCCCAGGTGGTAGTGATGTCTGCTATTCTCAGCATCACTATCACTGGAGGGTCTGCTTTAAWAAAWAAAAAAAAAAAAAAAAAAAAAAAAAAAAAGGGCCTTGCTCCGAGTTGCACGTGCCCATACAGAGTCTTGAAAGCTTTGTGTGAAGAATTCCTTCAAGAGGTGTCAGAAGGGTGTTTCAAGAGGTCCTCTTGAAATGCCCAAATCCCTTTTTTTTTTTTTTTTTGGGAAGACTCCAGGTTTCAAGCAGTGCTTGGCCAAGCACTCAAAGCACCCTCCATTTTCAGGAGGTGTTTTAATGAGATTCCCACTGTCCCTCTCTATCATCTTCTTCTTTTCTTTTTTTTTGTAGAGGTGGGATACAAGACAAATGACAGTCACCCACAGTAAACGGCCATCCACGAAGCCTAAGCCAAGGAAAAGGGCTAAAATGAATCGGCGGGGAAAGAAGACCCTATTGAGCTTGACTCCAGTTCCACTCTGTGAAAGGACTTGAGAGGTGTAGAATAAGTGCCACTGGGATCTTTACCACACAAGTGAGATACCAAAAAGTTGCCAGTGGCATGTGGCTCAGTGGTTAGGGCACCCGTTGTTAATCATGTGCACTGTGGTCTGAGGTTGCAGGTTCAAAACTCCACCCCTCTGCGCAGAAGACACCGGAAGGCGTTTACATAATGCATGGTCACTTGCTCACCCCGTTGGGCTGATGCAGATAAGCTATTACAGACGCTGCCTCCGCACCACCCAAGGGTTAGTCCGGGGTGTTGTATGTCGGATTCTACCTATGCGGGTTCACTTGAGCATGTTGGCTACTGGTTGCTCTGATGATCTCCCCCATCCGTCATTTCCATCTAGCATATATGGTAGGTTATCAAACAACTCTATTTTTGATTCTGTATATGGGACGCTGGACCCGGTTTCCAGCAAGTGATGCTCCCCACCAATAGATGGAGCCTCCCCCTGGGTGCTAGTGGTGACTGCTCGTATCAGCAGCACTAGCACTGGCAGGGGGGATGTTTAAAAAAAAAAAAAAAAAAAAAAAAAAAGGTTATCCTAGTTACACATTATAGGTTACAGGTTTGAGTCTGGCATAGCTGTTGTACACACATACTCACACATGGTTCTCAATACCTACACTGCCTACGGGCGCACCTATGCACCGCCTTAGGGCTCATACATGTGGCCTATGGGCAAATTGCACAGCCTACGGTCACTGATACACGACACACCGCCTTTGGGCAGATAGATATGGCCTTTGGGCATACATGCCGCTTGTAAGTCATAGTTATAATACATGTTACGACACAGACATATCAAAATAGAGTTAGGTGAGGGAGACCAACCTCTGTCGTGGGTTCATCATGGGGTTCAGATCCAGGCTATGGGTAGTCTGCTCTGATCTGTGCGAATGCTTGGCCATGAGTTGGTTCGTCGGTATGGACTGATACTGATACTGATTGTGTCTGACGTCCGAAGTCCTCGAGTGACAAGGTTTGCCCGTTCAGGCTTCCACTGGGGCTGGGTGGGGTAGCTGTCCAGTCCAGGTGCCTATAACTACTGTTCGATCTATGTCGCCCTCTGAGGGGTAGGGTGATTGTCCTGAGTGCTAGTACCACTGAGGTAGGATAGTAGGTACAGGGGGTGCGTAAGGAGAATTGATGTGAGGTAGGGTAGGGAGGCAGTCCTACCATCACGCGTCAGGGCACCCACTAGCTGGTTGAGCTGGAATAGTACCAGGATGGTGACCCCTCCGATATCAGAATAGGTGGGAGCTATGAGGCGACCTGGGCGGCATGTGGTCTGTGAGTGGCACCAGTGAAATACCACCAACTCGGGCCATACTGTGCGACGCCCAGGGAACCTCACGCTCGGCGCGACTTCCTGATCGGAGTTGGAGTGGGCCTGGAAGTGCGAAAAAGGGGGTGTGCCATGGATTTTAGGAAAGTGGGGGTGGAGTCCCAGGTTGGAACTGAGATCTCCTGTGCCAAGTCTCAGGGATATGAATGTAAGTGGGTAGGCCTGGGTCGGGGTCCTGTTTTACTCTTCGGGGAGCGGAGCTATCACCTCCGTTGATCCCGTCGTCTGGGTCGGATCCGTATCTGGTGTACCGCCAGGACGCTATGGCTATCTCGCTGGCTGATCACCTGCCGACGTTGGACGCCGCAGGTTTCGGAGTCCAAGGCGGCCGGCCTCAGCCGAAGGCTGTGCTCCCGTTGTTCCTCTTCCGAGCGAGTTTGCTGGATGAAGCCGGACGCTCGGTAATCGTGGTCCTGCAGGCACTCTGAACACGGAGGTTGGGGCCAGTAGGGAGCGAGTGCCCGCCACGGGGCGATGGTCAGGGAGTGAAAGGGCAAGATGTGGTGATAGGGAGGGAATTCGGTTTCCAGAATGATAATTCCGGGTTCCGCAATGATATGACACGTATATGAGCTAGGACAGCCGGGGAGGTGGGGGATACATTCGTTTCCTGTCGAGTATGAAAATTTCGGAGGTTCCACCCTCGGTCGTGCAGACAGACACGCGTGCTCCCAATACTTACGGAATTCACGACTCCTCAGACACTCACGGTTAGTGATGCGAAATGGGATTTCAGTATTCATACTGTGGCGTGGGGCGGAAGTCCCGACATTTGGGGAAGTTGGCCAAGTACAGATCTTCCCGACACGCGTGTAAATGACGACCTTCTTCGGCCGGGCTTACACGTGCATGCACAAGATGTGTCCGTCGGTCAAGCGGATAAGGGCCAACAACTCACAACCTATATGTACTGGCACGCTAGCTCGAAGATGGGTAATCCTATCCTGAGACAAACATCTAACCATCTAGCATGCTTATCCATTTCATATCCAGACAGAAAAACGCCAAACATCAATGCATCCGATTTTGAACATACACAGAAAAAGAAAAGAGGCGACGAACATTCATGCATCATTTCCTCGGCCACTGGTCAGGGAACATACATGATCCGATCGTAGATGATCAATCAATGAAGTTGTCAATTCATACAGAGGGAAGAGAGGAGCAGGGGGATGGGAAAATCACACATCAATACTTAAAGCAAAAACAAAGGAAAAGTCCGAGAAGTCAATCCAAAAGCAAGGGCGACTTGCGCCAGACATCAAAATTACTCGGAAGAATGGAAAAAAAACACCATTCCAACACATTCTCGTCTCTCTCTCTCTCTCTCTCTCTCTCTCTCTCTCTCTCTCTCTCTCTCTCTTTTTCTTTCTTCACACCATCCCAATGTGGGCAGTCCGTCGTCGCGCACCCACACAGAGTTTTCACCCCGCTTAGCCTGAACATGCAAGCCAGGTCCGTTCGTGTGCCACA